CTCAGCAGCTTGCAAAAGTCCTTGGATGCATTCAAGGCCGTCCTCTCCCTGAGCTCCTCCGCGGTGGGCTGGGTTAGCCTTCCTCTACCCCATGCGCAAACAACAACACCAGCTTTGATGAAACACCGAAGGTTTCTTGAGGATGAGCTGCACAATGCCAAGCTGGATGTGACCCATCAGGTGACTGTCATGTACAGCAAGGAGGGCTCGATGTCAAGTGACAAGCGACAGGTCAGCCAGCCTGTTCTGATGGTGACGCATGTGGCTGGTGAAGCTTCTCCTTGGACAAATACCACCGCCTTCAAGAACCAGGTTGTTGGCACTCTTCCACTGGTTCCGGTGTCGCAGATGATCGGCTATGATGCTGATAGCAAACCAGGTGCTGCCGCACGGGTTGAGCAGTGCCTCGACATTCAATTCACGACACAGTTTTTGTTTGATTTTCTGTTGGGAGCAAAAATAAACATACGGTTCCAGCATACTATATAAGTCAATAGAGTATGAGTTTGAATTCCCTGTTTGCTCTCACCATGAGGCGAGGCGTGCAAGCTCATGTGGACCTGATCAAGAAGCTCTTGGAAGGCATGGAGGTTCCCGATGCTGACACACTGGTCATATTGGATCTTTCTCCAAACCGGTGCCCTGGCCAATTATCAAAACTTAGGCTTGTGGCAGAAGGCTGACGTTTTCTGAACATAAACATAACTAATAAGTATCTAATAAATAGTCAACTTATTTTCCCAAACTTTTGTGCTTGGCATTGTTTCGGAGATAATGTTTCCCTTCTGGAGGCATGCTGAGATGGGGAGAGCGGTGGTCCAACGTTTGCTGCCCAACAACGTCAAAGTCCCATCAGTGGTCTACGGAGGACTTTTTTCTGCTGAGCAGAAGGATGCGCAGTTGGCCATAGAGGGCATGGTTTACAATTGGTGGGACGGCAGCTCCAATGCCCCCGCGCGTTCGAGACCACAAGAAGCGAAGCCAGATCCAGTTTTTCAGCTCCTCTCATGGAGCAATGGGGCGTGCATCTTCCCAGAAGCTGTGCAGAACAAGTTTCCTTCCGGCAGCGTTCAGCACCAAGGGGTCATGGCGCTCAAGGAGAAAATGAAGGAGATTTGCCCCCAACTGGTGGACGGAAGTCGAAAAGGTGCCAGCGGCTCCGCTCCTGTTACAGGTTTGAAGCCAAGGGCAGGGGGACGACCAGACTACGCGATCGAAGGTGGGACAGAACCCTTGGATTGGCAGCGTGAGGTGGACTTGGTGACTATCCCTGCGGCGTCCTTCAGTGAACCAAAGCTCCTTGAATCACTACTGCTCTGTAACAGTACTGAAAGTTATTTCATTTCTTTAACTTGTAGAAATCAAATGATATCCTGGGTCCAAAAACATGAATTCAACTTGGAAATTATTGTGATTCAGGCTTGCTGCGTGCGATGGGCGTGGCAAGCCATCATTGCACCTGACGCCGGAGTTCGATCTCTTCATCGGAAATCCATCGCAGGATGAAATGACCTTGTCGGGCGTGGAACTGTTCGGGTTCAACGTTGGATCATATGAGCAGCGAATTGTCCCAGGCAAGGTAGTAGTCAAACAATGGTCTCAGTGTTTTTGCTGGATGTGAATCTTGAGATGCTTTATAGTTACATGTTTTCTACAAACAGACATTTTTTGTTGCCAGTCAATCCTGCAGGACTTGGTGACGCAGAGAAACATGTGATCCCTTGGAGGCTTGGCTCGGACCTCAATCTTGTGAGTTCCAACAAGAAGCTGGTGGCCTTCTCGGAATTTGTATTCCAATGTGTGACGGTTCATGGGGTGGCATCCTTCGAAGTCTTGGACCACGCAGTGACGGCAAAGATGCACCCGCCTGCTACTTGATTCATATAGGGCTCAATGGGATTAAAACATCATGTCACCCTTTGATGAGGAAATTTTGGGAACCTGTTTTAAAGGCCTTCCCCATTCCATTCTGAGGCCTCAGAGGGTGCCGAAGCTATCCCTGTTTCGTATCGCTATTCCTTGTCTCCAAGTGGAAGTGGCAAGTGCAACTGCTTCAAGCCTTCTGCCGTTGCTGACAGTCAAAACTTGAGGCAATGTTTTAAAACCGAAGTTTCTTTCTCAAACAGGGATGCTACTAAAAACGAGGGCTATTAAACGTGCTCGCTGTTGATGCCGATCAGGCACGCAAACTTTGGGGCCTGCTACTCTGGCAACTTCCATAAACTTCCGAGGAACAAGATCGCAAACTTAGTGTGGGAGGCATGAAACTTGATTGGAACTTATTTCCAGACATTGAAAGTCTAAATATGTTTGCCAGGTGACCTTGCAGACGGGGTCAGGACAGCCCCGAATCATTGCGACCAAGTGCAAAGTGTTTTTGACTTGCACTTTGAGCTTGAAGCCAGAGACCTGGGTCAAGGTGTCGTCCTAGTGGCCCTGAAGTTCCTTAGCGACTAATGTTGTTTGCCCCAAGAGCTTGTACCGTGTTATGGGTGTTAGTGATTTTATATCATGTTGAATTTGTTGTTTGTGTGTGAGCACATCGGGCCAGAGCGTACGATGCCAATTGTGACCTGGAATAATTGGCAAAGAGCATTTTGCAAGGCAGCGAAGAGACAGGATTAGACTAGAACTATGCTCATTCACACTGGTTTGTGATGGATACTACATTCAGTAATTTAATTGGTTACTGTAAAATTGTTGTCTTGTTTGTTTGGCCTTGCAAGTCTAGAGCCAGAACGATGGATTCTGAAGCCGTAGCATCGAACTAGCCAGGGATTTTGAGTTCATGCGCTTCCTAGCTGGCAGTTCGTTGCGGGGACTCCGACAGTGCGACCACTGACAAAAACATTGTAGACTGACTGGTGTTCTTCACATTCACAGCAGACTCCAAGTTTGTAACCAGCTGAATGTGCCAGCGCACCACTTCCTTGGGTTCTTGAGAGTTTTGAAGACACCCACCAGGTGGTGGAAAGTATCTCAATGTTACTGTTTCTGTTTGAGGTCAAAGGCCAAGCCCAAGTAGAAGTTCCTTTTCTGTGTTTGCGCCCCATGTCCTTCATATTGCCACCCGTGGATCAGCTGTCCGCGTCTGAAGACGAACAAGAGGAACAAGAGGCCAGGTTTTTAGCAGAACAAGTTTCAATTTTATGTTGGGTCAATCCGACGACAGGCTACAGTACGCAAGCGGCCCAGTGCTCTTCGACTCCCGTTGCAGCCCAAGGCTAAGGCTAAGGTAGCACCGCAGCCGTCACCGACTGAGGAGGAACACGCACACACTGAGTCTGTCACACCTACCCCAAAGGTCAAGACTCTTCCAAAGTTGAAACCAAAGGCCAAGGCTCAGAGTGAACAAGTGAAAGAAAGAGCCAAAAGCAAAGCAGCCAAGAGCAAAGCTAAGTCGAAAGCGATCCAAAAGAAACCAGCCGCAGGATACCAAATGAAACATACATGTTTATTTTCATGGTTTGTTTGATGAGGTGACAAACTTTCATGCAAGGTTTAGTTGGCTTGCTTCGCGAAGGAGCAAGTTGTAAAGCAGATGGGGATGAGGAGCCAACACCTGCTGTTGGGAAACTCAGCACGCCCTATTTCTACAAAGCCACGAACGTTTGGGGGCTGAAGCTGGATGGGAAGGAGATTCTGCAGGCCTGGTTCCTACTACCTACTTATGTTTTTTCTGTCCATGGATCGGCCAATTTCAGCTTCAAAACCTAAAACATCAATGGTTGCTGGGAGGCAGGAGGAAAATACTATGATCCTGACAAAGCAAAGGAAATCATCGTTGCTGGCTCAGACTGAGCTGTAACCGTAGTGTAAGTCCTATCTATTGTCATGGTTGGCGCCATTCTTCTCATTGTTTTTGCATTTAGTGGTGTCCTTGTTCTAGTGGTTTGTCCTTGTTCTTCTTCTCGTTGCTGTTGTTTCTGTGTTTGTTTGGTTGGTTGGTATTGTTTGATTGGTTAGTAGTTTATTGTGTTTTTGTTGTTGTTTCCTGTTTCAAGGAACTGGGTCGTGAGCGCCTTTTGGCTGGAGTCGCTGTGCAAGAAGTTCGAGATGAGGTAGTCGCTACCCTAGCCCGAACATATAACCAGTAACAGTTATTATAGGTCTCAAGTCTGAGCCTGGCTGTGATTGGTCATCATCTTTGTTTTCCAAGATGATCCTTTTTCTCAGGCCGCCTTGAAGCGACAGCTGGAGTACATACCAGGCTTGATTTTCAACTACCCTTTTGAGTGAAGCTTGAAATCACTCACATGTCCAACATCCTTAGGATAATAAATATTGAACCCTTTGGAAGGTGCACCTGCTTCGAAAGCAGCACAGAAGAAACCTGCCGCCAACTTGAAATTGGTGGGGCCGGCGGCCGATGATTGTGAAGACCCGGAAGAAGAGGAACTTGATGGAGACGAGTGCGTAGAAGTTGATGAGGTTCCCGCTCAAAAGGAGCATCCGGATACAAAGGCTGCAGCAGAAGTAGACTAGTGTAAATGAAAGCTTGTTTGCCTGAGGTAGGCGCCAGACTTGAAGTCCAGCCCAGTCCAGCAAAGCTGGATCCCATATGCTCTACTTGATAGACAATGGCTTGGCGTGAAAATGCCTTCTCCATTGTGCAGCTTCAGAGGGGGCGGGAATCATATGAGTTTGAGTTTCTTTTGGGCAGGAAGGGGGGGGTTAGATTTCAAGCGGGCCAACCGGTATAATATGATAATCTTATCATAATATGATATATATGATATGTTATTGAATAAGATACCAAAATGGAATGAAGAGGATTTGAAACATTATCGTGCTTCAGAATCCTGATTGTTTTTATGGATGATCGAATGTTTTGGCTCTGGGAGGCGGAACTCCCTGCCGAAAAATGCATAGGAGGGTGCTGAGTGATTAGAGATCTGAGAACAACCCAGTTGCCAAATGCAAGAGATGTAAGAACACCCATTGCTTTTGGAACCCCGGATGCAAAGAAAAAACGATAGAATCCTCACTGTTCATAGCAGGTACGGCCAGTTCCTCCAGGGGGTTTGCGAGGTCATCCCACTGGAGAGGCAAGGCTCAGGTGGGACCGGGTGGGTGGGTGGGTCTTAGGGGTCACTCTAACCAAATCTTGCACGCGAGGATTGTTTGGCATATGCCCAAGGCCACTGAAAAATAGTTGGGGATGTTTGGACTGACTATCTCAGCCCTTTGCACCCCAGTTGGTCATCACGACGTCAGGATGACAGTGGACATTGACATGGACAACGTGTAAGTTTTGGGGTTTCTGTTTGGAGTTCATACCTAGATATCGGTATCTATAGACAATCCAAAGGGTGTTTCAGATCTCCCAGATCCACTAAAGGAGGTAAATAATGTCCGACTGGTGACCCACGCATGCCTTGGAAACATCAAGTCTTAAAGAGCACATGGAGGGTCGCTGGGTCGCTCCAACCGTTTGGATGTGCCGAGCTTGTGCACCGCGAACACATGAAGCTCCAAAGTCATCCGAATCCCTGACCTTTTCGGACGATTGAAGACGGTCCGTTTGTCTAATTACGTTGTTTCATGTAGTTTCTTTGCGGATCAAAAAGTGTCACAGGCAATTAGGCCATAGGGTGTAGTCTTGGGTGCTCAACTTGGTGGCAAACCGTTCTCCGTGGTTCTCCGTTTGTGTATTGTGTGCAGGGCGTTGAGTTATGAACTTCACCCACTCATCTGAAATTACATGAAAATAATGACCAAAGCGTAATCGTAAAGTTTCATGAGGTCCACAAACAAACACATTGGTTTCCAATTTGTAATGTAGGAGAGTTCTCATTGCTGAAGACTTTCTATTGACTGACTGAAGGCCTTCGCTGCTTGTTTGCTTTCGCCGCGAAATTGATGTCGCCACCCAGATGCTTCACGCGTGACCACAGTGCTGCTACTCTTCTCCCAGAACTTGGCAGTGGCTGCTGCACGAGAGGCGGGTACGGATGCTTTTGCATTGTAAATCGGTCTATTTGATACCTTTAGCATCCTTTACCTTTAACTAACTAACTAACTAACTGTTTAAATGTGTACGGCATCATAAGATTCCCAACATCCCAAGACTCTGATTGTTTGGACTGAGCACCAAACAGACGGGTGATTCATGTGTCCGTTCACCCCGACCCATATATAGACGCACGCCGCATGCGGTTGTTCAAATGTCTTCAACTTCTATGGATTGTCTTGTAATCGACAGACATGGCAAAAAAAAGAAACATAATCCTGTCATATCCTGTCATAGATGTGGGTCCTGGTTCCGTCCATCGATCCATTCCGAGGCCCCACGCAATGAGCTCACCACCTTGGAGAGGAGCTTCCCAGCACTGGCGGCAGCACCGCAGGAGACACCGGGGTCGTTTTGGTCCCAAACTCAACACGCCGCATTTTGTCCCTAGACGAGATGAGCAGGTTGAGTGCAATAGAATCCAAGGGAGGACAGGTTGAGCAGGTTGGGTCATGATACGATCATGAACACTTCTCACTGATCTTGGATGGCGGCCGTGTGATTTGCTGTGCAAAAATAGACTGGAAAAAAGAACACAGTCCTGACACCTTCTGACATATTCCGATATATACATTGCGATGGGGGTGTTAGGGGTGTTTTTACTTCTTGAGCCTCCATTTTTGTTGAAACCGGACACTTTTGGGACTGCAGATGTACAGACAACAGTCTCCAGACTCACCCGATTTGCGGAATGGTCCATGCACTTCAATTTGTTGCTTGGCCCGCTCGCAGGAATCGCTTTTGAAAGAATTTACAATGAGTAAGGCGTGTGTGTTTGCGTCTGTGTGTGTGTTTGTGTGTGCGTCTGCTTGTTCATGTATGTGTCCCGATGCACTTGTTGGACGTTTCCCAGAGTGCCACTTGTTTCGTAAAGATTACTGTAGATATTTGGGACCTCAACATAGACTCCTCAGGGTTTTTGCAAATTGTCTTTGTTTTTTTTCGATCCCAATGGTGAAGGAAAACTGACGAAAAGCAATGGACACCATGAGCCGTATTGTGTTTGAATACTATATCAATAATACAATATATTGTACTAAAGTGTGAAACATATACCATCCCGGAAGTCTTGGCCACGGAGTCCTTCGTTGGGTGTCCGTGATGGGATGTAAACTCGGCTAGGTCCTTTAACGATTGCGTGTTGTTTTGATTAGAGAGGCTGGTCCAAGACGAGGGCCTCAAAGGCAAATGAGCAGCTCTAAACGGTTGCAGAACGAGAACAAAACGGGGGCAACTCAATGTGGTTGGCTGAACTGCAACCGGTGCCACTTTCTCCAAAAACATAGTGTGTTTCACTCCTTTGTGAAGAACAACTTGGGGCTGTGCCCTCTGCAGGTCGGCGGCGGCCTTCGGGGCCTTTCCTATGCAGATCTTCAGGTCTTTTGGATTGAAGGCACCCGCATAGTCCGGGTATGTCCGGTTCAGTATAGAGCTGCCATGAATGCGATGAATGCCAAAACCAAACACCCCAACATGAACCCCAAACCATGGTGGTAGTGCATTTTCTTCATGTTGGCGACCCAAGAAGACCGTCATGACCACGTGACTCGCTCACCGAGCATTTGGGGAGATCGTTTCCGTTTGACCAACTTTGGTGTACAGAGCGTGCTCAGATTGGTTCGGTGTTTGGGCAACAGCATCCTACCCACTTTACGGTGAGCCCATGGGAATCGTTCCCGTGAGTTCCTGCCTTTGATTTACGACTTATCCAAAGGTCTTGCCGCCCTGTAAAGTATTCAAAGAGGAAGAGGTGTTGCTGAGTCATAAAGACTTGTCATCAATCAAACCGTGCAGAACTTGGCCACGTTGGTTTAGCAACATGTCCCTCGGGTCAGGTGACGCCTTTTAGATGGTCAATGTACTATTGAAGAATAGACAAGCCATCAGAAGTCAACCCATCAACCTCGTGAGCTATTCACCTAGTTTGTTGAGACTCTGGTGCAACTACAGCACATCGAATCTCCACCATAACTTTAGCAACAGTGAAGAGCAGAGCAACAGCTCTATTTGACTTGGCTTCTCACTGGTCAACCCCTGGTCGACTCAAGGCCACCAACCAGATGTGTAAGATGGGAGGATGGGAGGTGGATGATGAAACCGATGCGCCAGGCCAAGTGATGCATTTGAAGGCCTTGAACAGGGACTTCAAGTTGGACTTCACCAAGGCCGCCCAGTGGAAGCGAAGCCCCCAGAGGTGGTCACATCACTGGCCAGCGTGTTGAAGGTGAGTTCTTAACTGAAAGTGCAGCTAGTGGCACAGAATGTAATCTGGGTGGCTGTTTGCAAGTTGCAAAAGTTGCTTTTGTGTATATGTTTTTTGTGAAATTTGAAACTGGTGAGTTTAAAATTGTTTACAACTTAAAGTGAAAAGTTTGGGAGCTCCAGTGGTTTAATTACATCATTGTCTTCGACTCACATCATTGTCAGCTGTCAGTTTCACAATCGTTGCCACCTTTGGGTTCAAAACTGTTCTTCCATTGTTTCCGGCTGCTGGAAACTTAGAACTTCGGAGTGGTAGGAGTCCCATAATTGATGATTCACACTGCCTGCCCAGGATGATTTGATGGCTGGAGGACTGACTGATTGGCACTGGGCAGGGATTGAGCTTCATTGTCACTTGTCACTCTGCAGCCACAGTCAGCTCAAACCATTGTAACTCACTGTCACTATCATGGATAAGTCTCAGAATTTGGCGGGGACTGTGGCAGATTTGACTGTGGCCTTGTTAGCATTTCAGGTGTCATTGTCATTTCAGGACAATTCACACTTCAGTGTCACCCACTGAAGTCCTGACTCATCAGGTGACCTATGTTGCCTTGACCCACAAGATGCGCATCCAGGTGATCAAGCAGGGAGATGATGGTGTGGGTGATCATCAGGCAGCATCACAGACTTCCCAATCCTCAACATATGACATGGGCGAGTTGCGGAGTGAAGATGAGCCTAAAGTGAAGAAGAGGCCAGCGGGCAATGTAGATGTTAGGTACCCAAAAAGGCGGGCACCAAACAAGTGAAGCTCGTGCTCCTCTTGGTGAAAAACAAGTATGTTCATCATTGTCATGCCAATTAGTTTAGTCGTGATGATGTGCAAGTTTAGTGTGGCTTGATCAATGTGACACTGATCCGTCTCAAATCAACACCAAATCATTGTCACTGATTTATTATTTGCTGCAGGACACCCATCAGCATCCAGGCAGGATCAGGTGAGGATTGCATTTTTCAAATCACTTATGAATAATAACTATTCGTGCTGTTTAAGGTGTCATGTTTACCAAGGTGTCATGTTTACCCATGAAGCTCGTGTGCGCCAGGTGCAGAGCTACAGTGCATCAGCTGCCTTCTCAGTGTCCAGCAGGCCTGTTTGTGTTTGTTCTTCATCATCAATGGAACAAACAATGGGTACCTTTGTGAACCGTATATGGTGTCTTTCAATTGCATGAAGTGCATAATACCATTCATCAATGGTGGACTAAGAAGCCTGCTGGCTCCATGTTGGACCTGGCTCAAAATACCTTGGACAGGCTCTTGGAGGTCTGTGGTAAATCAGAGATGCTTTCTTTGAACCATGGCTATGCTGGTTTCAAACCATCACAAATTGATTGCTAACACCGTTCACTGGAATAATGGCGGGGTGGTTTTGATGATTGCGTGTTTATGTTGCGACAAGGATCCAACTGGTGATGTGGCCGCTCCCCCCCGCAAAGCCGCAAGAGGTCATGGAGGATGTGGAGGAGGAGGATCGGGAGGAGGATCATTGTCAGGCAGAGGAGCGTGATCCTGTTTTGCCTCTGGGTTTCAATGACAAGCTGTGTTGTGACAAAGTCATCCAGCAGTCACAGTCATGATTCAACTTTACAGTTGCAGCTCATTTGATTCCCCAAGGCTGGAAATCCTCAAGGATCACAACATTGCGGACAACATCCAGCACCTCTTCTTCCAGCTGTATGGCAGGTGCCCACTGAGAGCTGTTCGAATCTTGATACTTTCCAATTTGCTCACAGGATCGCTAATGTGAATTGAATATTTCATGAATTTGCAAGTCTGGTTGCTTCAAACCTCAGGAACAAGCTTGTGTCGGCCGAGGTTATCAAGACTATGAAATCAAAAAATGGCTGGATGCTCACCGCCATTAGTGGATTGCCTTGATGAAGTTCAATTGCCTTTGTCATTGTCATTGATGAGTACTCATTGGCATTGTCTGTTTGTTTCAGTTTGTGACTGTCTTGCTTGATGCCATAGTTCAATTACCAAGGTGAGGATGTGCAGATGTTGGATGCCAGGGCCAAGGAGGATTCGCCAAAGAGGACGGGCCAAGTGAAAGACAGCATGATCATGTGAAATACATGGGTGTTGCCAGGTTGCATCATTGTCCTTGGCATTTTTGTCCTTGTCATTTTTGCCATCGACGACGACTCAGGCCTGGCCTGATTGAACATTGGGCACAGTCACTCAAATTGTACTTAAACTTTAGACCTGTGATTTCACACCAAGGCTGGAATTTCACTTGATGTTAGATGAGTTTGTCTTTCACAAAATGTTCTTTTATTATTCACTGTCTACTAACTAAGTTCTTCTTATGTTGAATTCTGTCACTCTTGCGCCTGCTCTCAGGTGTTTGGTGCCGTGTCCCGCAACCTGCTGATCTGATGGTTTGTTGCTCAGCACGCCAGCCCTTTAGTTGGTCATTGTTCTCGTGACTTCAGCCCGGGTATTGTTTGGCAGTCGGGCTCAAGACACGCCTGACATCCAAGCAGATGCAACATCATCATTGAAAAAACACATTGTCAAATCATTGTCATTGTCATGACACCATGACACTGACATATCACTGCTAGACATTGACAGGCAGTGTTTTTTTTAATGCGCGACGATTCCATTGCTTTGGCGAAGTTGCCTCACGCGATTGTGTCCACTGCGGCAGTCTTCAGTCGGAGTGCGCAGCAGAGCCTGTACCTGTGCTGGCTACTGGATCGCAAGGGGACTTTGGATTTGGTGTAACTTGTCAGAGTCGTCATTGTCAGAAGTTTATTTTACTGTGTTTTGCTGTGTTTTGTTGCTTTATTTTACTTGCAGTCATATTTGCACTCATGCCTTGTTGCCTCACTGAGGGAGCGGTTCAGCAATCAGCAGCACTTGATCCAACGGCCAGATGGCTGGATCTACAATGCTGTCCGAAACCACATTGGACAGTCACTTGGTATCTGTTTAGTCATAATCATTGTCATTGGTCATTGTCATGGTCCATGAGTGGTTTGACAAATGTTTGACTGACAACTGACAACTGAGGCTTAACAGCGCTGCAGGATTTCCGGTCCAGGGCGAGACAACTTCGCGAAGCCGGGTGTAGCAGCAGATGGCCTGACAAGGTTGTGCTCTATGGTTGGGGTACAAAGTTCGAGGATAATGCTGATGAGGTGGCTTTGTTTGCAATTATGTCATTTTGCATTTTGTCATTGTCATTGTCATTTTGCATATTGGAAGTTGCACTTGGTCGTCATTGTCATTTCAGCTCAGGAACGTGGTCTCATTGGAAATTGGAAGGTGACAAGGCCAAGAGATTTGATCTTCTGTGGCGGTGGATTTGCTAGCACCACGATCCATGACCTGTGCCGCATGCTCCCGGAGACGGAGAATGGCAAGTTTCTGATCAAAGGCGGCCCTGAGCCGGGGATTTTTCCCGATGTCATGACAAATGTGCCATGGCAACAACCAATGACAATGATGTGAAGAAAGTTCATCACCCTATATCCAGTTGATTTGGCGCTGAGGTATTTCAGCACCAACGATTCTGGAGAACCTTGCGCCACCTGGTTCGATCGCCTGCCCACCTGGTCCTCCTCAATTGCGCCGCAGGTTTCCACCGCACAAGTGCTGCAGGCATAGCCCTGTGGTGTCTCTTGTACGTGGCCAGGTTGCATGAAGGGGTGAATGAATTTTGAATGATGTCACTAATAATACTATGGACACTAACTTTGTCATTGTCATGAGTCATGGTCATTGGCCAGCAAGCAACCTGGCCATAACGGAGGCTTGTGGTGTGGATGTGCTACTCTTCCTGCCCAGCTTGTCCAAGACCAAAAAATGGAAGTGGATTCGTGATGCTCAATGGGCATATGAAGCAGCATGTGATTCAAAGTTGGACATGTGATTTGTCAACAGTTAAGTTGTTACTTTGTGAACAGTATATGGTGTCTTTCAATTGTTGTCAAATGCTACCTAGCAATTCCTTTCAACTAAGGCATGAAGTGCAGAATACCATTCATCAATGGTGGACTAAGAAGCCTGCTGGCTCCATGTTGGACCTGGGTCAAAATACCTTGGACAAGCTCTTCGAGATCTGTGGTAAATCAGAGGTGCTTTCTTTGAACCATGGCTATGCTGATTTCAAACCATCACAAGTTGATTGCTAACACTGTTCACTGGAATAATGGCTGGGTGGTTTTGATGATTGCGTGTTTGTTGCGACAAGGATCCAACTGGTGATGTGGCCGCTCCCCCCCGCAGAGCCGCAAGAGGTCATGGAGGATGTGGAGGAGGAGGAGGAGGATCAGGAGGAGGAGGAGGATCGGGAGGAGGAGGAGGATCGGGAGGAGGATCATTGTCAGGCACATGCGGCGGCATCTGAGGGGGATGAGGAGCGTGATCCTGTTTTGCCTCTTGGTTTCAATGACAAGCTGTGTTGTGACAAAGTCATCCAGCACAAGTCAAAGTCATGATTCAACTTTACAGTTGCTGCTCATTTGATTCCCCAAGGCTGGAGATCCTCAAGGATCACAACATCGAGGACACCATCCAGCACCGCTTCTTCCAGCTGTATGGCAGGTGCCCACTGAGAGCTGTTCGAATTTTGATACTTGGCTTGTATTGTTTCCAATTTGCCCACAGGATCGCTAATTTGAATTGAATATTTCATGAATTTGCAAGTCTGGTTGCTTCAAACCTCAGGAACAAGCTTGTGTCGGCCGACGTTGTCAAGACTATGGTATCAAAAAATGGCTGGATGCTCACCGCCATTAGTCGCTTGCCTTGATGAAGTTCAATTGCCTTTGTCATTGTCATTGATGGGTACTCATTGTCATTGTCTGTTTGTTTCAGTTTGTGACTGTCTTGCTTGATGCCATATTTCAATTACCAAGGTGAGGATATGAAGATGTTGGATGCCAGG